CAAACCCTCAAGGCAAGAGGAGCTTGGAGTGATGTATTTTAAGCCCTAAAGGAAAACAGCCTCCAACCAAGATTGTTATACCCTGCAAAACTATCTTTCAAAATTGATGGTGAAATAAGATACTTTCCTGATAAAGAGCACATTAGGAACTTCATGAATACCAAACCAGCACTCCAAAAAAATTTTAGATAAAAGCCAAGGAAAAGACAACAAGGATCACAATCTGAGGAAGCCCAGCAGAATGAATCCACTGGGCATGGCAAGAAATTAAACACAAAGGGGGAGAATCCAACAAAAAGAAAAAGTCATGACAATGATAACTCAATATGTATCAGTTATAACCATCAATGTTAATGGTCTCAACTCACCAATCAAAAGAAATAGACTGGCAGAATGGGTCAAGAAGCAAGATCCAACAATATGCAGCATACAAGAAACACTATTCAAAAATAAACTCATAGACTGAAAGTTAAAGGGTGGAAAACAATACTCCATGTGAAAGGAACCTGAAAAAGAGCAGGAGTAGCTATCCTCTTTGGAGACCAAGTGGATTTCAAACCCACAGTGATTAAGAGAGATGGAGAAGGACACTACATCCTTATAAAGGGAACAATCCAACAGAAAGAGATGATGATCATAAATATCTAGGCACCAAACACTAGTGTGCCCAACGATATAAAACAAATAATAACGGAAATGAAGAATCATATAACCACTAATACAATAGTAGTGGTGGAACTCAATACCCTATTGTCACAAATAGATAGATTAATTAGACAAAAAAAGCAACAAAATACTAGAACTCAATCAAACTCTTGAACAAATGAACTTAACAGATGCTTACAGAATGTTTCACCCCACAAAATCAGAATACACATTCTTTTCAGCTGCACATGGGTTGTGCTCCAAAATAGACCACATACTCACTCACAAAACATGTTTAGGTAAGTACATAGGAACTGAAGCTATCCCCTGTATATTATCAGACCATAGTGCAATGAAATTGGAGATCAAAAGCAAAAGATACTGCAAAAAAAGTCATAAACACATGGAAATTGAACAACACACTTCTGAATAATTAATGGGTCACAGAGGAAATTAAAGAAGAAATCAGA